AGTTACAGTCCCGGATGCAAGACCCCCCTCTCCCCCTCTCTAGTGACGCAGAGGTGTCAAATTTCATGGCTCTGAAATGGCTGCCGAGCTGACAGGCTGTAATCTGGCCAATTGCAGTCCAGAAGCGACCACAGATCTATAGAACATCAGACGCGCTGGTTGTGCGCGCTTTGGATATGAAGAGCGCCTGTTTCCAGACGAGCGTCTATTTCTGAACCTGGACAAAACGCTATATATCTCACCGATGGAAGCACGCAGAAACGTGGAAATGGTCTTGTTTGAAAGAAGAGATCCTAATCTAAAAGATAATATAGAGTATATAGATATTTGTGGCTGTTTGCGGCTGACTGAAGCAGTGCTACGAGTATAAATGTAAATTCGCTCAGAGGTGACCAAATTTTACATCGCGGTTCTATCGAAGATAATTCGATCTGTGATTGTCACACAATGAAATAATCTACATCGTCAAATTCCTGAGAATGAGAGCTTTCTTGTGATATATGACTTGACTTTTTTGTGAAAAATATATAAAATACACATTCTTCGTAAAAATTATTCGCAATGGTTAGGCGGAAATTCGTGTGTGGGACGAATACATTTCTAAGCTTAATTTTACTGCTTTATGAATATAAAAACCAAAAGGAATGGTATTCTTTGTAAAGAAGACACTCCAAGCTTTCAAATGAACCCATATATGGGCTGATACCATATAAGGAAGGCTATGTAAATGAAGCATAAACATTTTTTACGTCATTTTGGACCCGTATCCGGGTCCGCAGAGTTTAACTGGTTTTAAACGCATCAAAGAAAATGTTCTTTCACTCTTCCATTTGTCCTATTGTCGACAGACTCATTAAGTGCGTGGACTATGTCAGAAAGTGAATGCGCAACTGTGAACCGTATCAAAGTCCCTTTAAGGCATGTCACTCGCCGGCCATCTTTGAAACGCCTCTCGGGCATGCAAGTACAGCTCCTGTTTCTTTGAATGGGGAAACATCAAATTCTCCAAAACTGTTCGCTAAGCTTACGATTAAATGTTATATTTGAAATCACCAATGAAATCTGACAACAACCGTCTTATAAATGTTGTTTCTTTTGCTCAAATAGTGTTGAAAAAAGCGTACAATTCAGGCTAGACCAGTCAGTGTGCACGCCGCAGTTATACGCACACATATCTGAACGCTGACTGTTTCTATAGCAACCAGGACTTCTGACGGCAGCTGCACTGACTTTACCGATTAGCGATTCGCTCTTTTACTCAGAAGGCGGGGCTTCCTTCGATAGAGCGCCATATTTTGCGTTTCCTATCAGACGTCAAATAGACGTTTAGAAAATAATTTTGACTATTTAGAAGATGTTTATGATTTAGAATGAATGTAAAACTGACATCTTAAAGACGTCTGTCAGATGTTTGTACACAGCAGATGCTTTCCAGATGAAGCGATCTTTAACAGACATCTCGCAGACGTACGTGTGAGATCAAGGCTACTTATTGTCATCTGTCTCCATATATTTAGAGCATTTTAGCACAACTTGGTTGTACTCGTTGTACTCGGTTTAAACATGGACAGGGAGAGCATGACACTTGTCCAATGTTGAGTAATTTCTCCAAAGTAATGCTAAATTGCATTAATATACTCAATTTTTTGAGAGAATGAATGTGTCAAAATTCAGTTTTGTACAATAAACAATTGTGGTTGGGAATGTCAAATCTTGGTCCAACCAGTTGGGAACCAAGACTAGACTATTGGTCTTGGTCATGAGAGGTGACTTCGTGTCAATGATTCGAGTTCTCAGTTTGATGGGACTGGGCGAGAGACACTTATTCAATCACACTGATGTATTTCCTGAAGCTCCGCGCTTGTTTCCTCATTACGCTAATTGAGTACAAATTGGCTCAGAAGCTGCAGCGCAGCTATCAAGAGGATTAGGTTTATCAGATGACAATGTAAAGCCCTCTGATCCTATTAGACGCAAAGCAGCTAACACAGAGGAGCTGTGTCAGCTCACCGGGGGGAAGCAAGGAGAAAGACGAGAGGCAGAAAATTAACTGTTGTACACAATGTTTTGTATATGGAAAGTATTTCATTCAATTCATCTCATGACCATGACAACTAGCTCCAACCTTTATGTGAATGATAATAACACATAAAATGGACTTGGCGAATCCTACATTTAACCAAAATAAAGGCCTGTTCACACCAAGGAAGATAAGTATAACATTAATGATGAAGATCTAGTTTAAAAAAAATAACGACATAGAGGAACAATATCACTGGAATCACTTTCAAAGTGGGTTTTTTTTCCAGCTGATGAACGATAAGAAGATTGACGGCCAATCAGAATTCATTCTGCTTTAAAGAGCTCAAGCACTGAAAGCGCCAGACGACAAAGTGTGCGAATATAATAAACAGAATGTTATCGTGCGCTGGTATGATGGAGTGCATCCAGATTTTATAGAACAAAACATTTGTGTGCCCAAGCGAACAAGAGGACTCATCAAGATAACAACCAAAACTGTTCGCTAAGCTTACGATTAAATGTTATATTTGAAATCACCAATGAAATCTGACAACAACCGTCTTATAAATGTTGTTTCTTTTGCTCAAATAGTGTTGAAAAAAGCGTACAATTCAGGCT